ATTAATTATTATTATTATTAATTTGCCAAACTCTGATCTCGTTGCCAAACGCCGATCCAGGTTTTTTTTCCCGGATTGTCCTTAGGAAGTGCTCGGTGTCTGTGCCGTAGGATCCTCATCCGTCTGCAATTCCCGAGGTTTTGGGGGTTGTTTTTTGGGATTTGTTTTGTTGATTTTTTTCCCCTTTCTCGTGTGCCATAGCCCCGATCCCTCCTCGTGTTTAATATTCCCTGGAATCCTTCCCAAGTCAATGGATAACACAATAAAAAGGCTCACTTTGCATTTTCCCAGATTTCCTCTGCCTGCCTGGGAATTCCGGATCCTCTGGGATTGAAACCCCCTTGGGAATCCACTCAGGGATCCTTCCACTCTCAGGGATTCCCTTTTCCCACCCTCTGGAACTGCTGGGACCCCCCTGGATCTCCCCTCCTCATTCCTGGGTGGATTCCAGATCCTGGAGGAATTCCGGATCCTCTGGGATCCCTCTGGGATTGAGGAGCCTCTGGGATTGAAACCCCTTGGGAATCTTTCCACTCTCAGGGATTCCCTTTTCCCACCCTCTGGAGCTGCTCAGACCCCCCTGGATCTTTTCTCCTCATTCCTGGGTGGATTCCAGATCCTGGAGGAATTCCGGATCCTCTGGGATTGAGAGTCCTTGGGAATTCTCTGAATCTCAGGGATTCCCTTTTCCCACCCTCTGGAGCTCCCTGGATGCTCAGATGGGATCGGGAATGGCGATTCCCGGGAATTGCAGCTCCTCAGGAATCTCCTTATCCCGCCCTTGGGAATTCCCAGCTCTCAGGAATTCCCTTTTCCCACCGCTCTTCTCCCCATCCCTGGTGGCTCCTCCACGGGAGCCCTTGGGAATTTCCTTTTTCCCGGGAACCTCCGGAGCGGAGGAATCCAAACCCAGCGCTGCATTCCTTCCTTTTTCCGGGAAAAGGGATCCCGGCCTGTTCCAGCTTCCCGGCAGCTCCGGAGCCGCATTCCCAGAAAATCAGCGGGAATCGTTGGGAATTTTCAGCCCCAAAACCGCTGGGAAGTGACGGGGGTGGGACAGAGAGCGGGATCCAACCCCAGAATCCCAAAATCCCCCCGGAATTCCCATCAAAACTCCGGGAACCGGGAGCGGCACCGGGCCGGGCACGGCCAGAAACACCCGGCCGCCCTTCCCCGGGCTGCTTTTAGCCTGCCCGCCGCCCTAATTAACCCCCGCCGCCCTAATTAATCCCTGCCTCCCTAATTAACTCCCGCCGCCCTAATTAACCCCTCGCCCTCCCAGCCGAGGCCACCGCGCCGGCCCCGCCCTGTCCCGGGTCCCCCCCGGTGTCACCTCGGGGTTCCCGGGGACCCCCCCCGCCACCCCCTGCCCGCGGGGGATGCCCCGATGTCCCCACGGGGGACACCCGTGACGCAATGCTGACGTCACAGAGGTGAGTTCCTGCTCCGTGCCTCAGTTTCCCGCAGTGTTCCGGGGCTGTCGGGATGGGCGGAGCCGCTCGGGAATTGGGGGTGGGGGGGACACAGGCGGTGCCCCCCCGGTTTTTTGTCCCCGGTGTCGCTCCCGGGGTGGAGCCCGAGCTCGGGGCCGGGGCCAGAGCCAGAAATGAGCGGTGCCCCGAGCCAGGAAGGGGCTCCGGGACCCCCCCGGGACCCCCAAACCCCCCCGGGACACCGGTGTCACCCCCCGGGACACTCGGGGTGGCATCTGCGCCCTCTTCCCCCCAAAAAACCCTCCCCCCAAAAGTGTCAGCATTTGGGGGGTGCCCAACACCCATCCTGCACCCCCCGGGCCGGCTGCGATCTGCTAATTATTTATTAATTACCTAATTATGGCCCAGGGTTTAATGATCCCGCGCTGGCCGTGCGGGGGGGTCGCGGTGGGGGGGGGTGTTCCCCCATTCCCAGCCTTGGGAATTCTTTCCCGGCGCTGGGAGGGTGCCGGGGGGGGGTGGGGGTGAATCGGGGACCCCTCCCCGAACCCCCAAACCCCGCAGCCCCCCCCCCGTGCCCGGAGGGAGCCACTGTCCCCCCTCTTGCTGGGGGGACTTTGGGGTCCATGGGGGGGTTCTGTGGGGGTCCCGGGGCTCTGGGGGTGCCCCAGCTGCTGTTTGGGGGGTCCCAGGGGGTCTCAGGTGGGTCTGAAGGTTCCTGAGCCCTTGGGCTGCTGTTTGAGGGGGTCTTTGGGGGGTCCCGGGGCTCTGGGGGTGCCCCAGCGGCTGTTTGGGGGGTCCAGAGGATCTCTGTGCCCATGGTTGGGATCTTTGGGGGGTTCCGGGGGTCTGGGGGTGCCCCAGCTGCTGTTTTGGGGGGCACAGGGACACCGTGGGGGTGTCTCAGTTGTGTGACCCCGGTGCCGGGTGGGTGAGCTCCGAGGGGGCTGCGCTCGGGGGTGTCCTGCGGGTGGCAGGGGGGGATTTTGGGGGGGGGGGATTTTGGGGGTTCGTCACCCCCTCCCGCGCCCGTGACACAGCCGAGGCCTGACACACCGGTCACACGAGCGGCACGGCCGCGGTGACAGCGGCGACAGGAATGGCCCCGTGACCCCGGAGCCGCCGAACGAGTCCGGGCAGCCCCGGCCGCCCCCGAGCCCTTTTCCCTTTGGGATTTTCCCGGGGGGATCTCAGGGAACAGCGAGACCCCACAGCTCGTGTCAGCCCGGGGGGGTGTCGCAGTTTGGGTCCCCACAAGGTTTTGTCACCGCTTTGTCCCCTGGGACCGCCGGGACACCACGGTGCCTCCGTGCCTCAATTTCCCCGCCCCGCGATCAAAACCCCGAATGAGGGCACAGGGCACGTCCCCGAGGCACGGGACACTCTGGGATCGTCACCGTGTCCCCAGCCGGGGCTGGCCGGTCGCTGTGTCCCCGCCCGGAGTGACACCGTGTCCCGGCCGGGGCTGGCACCGCTCCCGGGGCCACCCGGGGTCACCCCGTGAGAGCCACGCGGGGCAGGGCGAGCTCAGCCCAACCCCAAACCCCCATCCCCGACCCCCCCCCGGAACCCTCGGGATTCCCACCCTGTTCCCACCCCCGGGGCACGGAGGGAATTCCGGGGGGACTCCCCCGGGCTCGCCCCCAGCCCGGTTCCCACGGCCGCGGTTTCTGCGGGGGTGGGGGAAACTCCATCCCCGGCCCGTGCCTCAGTTTCCCACGGAGCTCAGGGCACCTCGTGGGTGTTTTTCTTGGAAAAAAAAACTTTTTTCAGAGAAGGGCGGGGTGGGAATTTCCTCCTCCTGCAGCAGCGGAGAGGCCACACACGGGTGGGAACCCCCAGGCTGGGTGGAGCCCACCCCAAAACCCACCCAGGAGGCGCCGATCCCGCTGCCGGCTCCCTTGGGAACGGCTCCAGCAGAGCAGGGGGAAGAGCAAACACCACAGTCACGTCAGACATTTTATTGCAAATAAATTTAGCTCCTCGCTCGGTAGAAGAATAAACTCTGTTAAAAGGTTCAGCTCAGGGTCTCCAAGTGCAAAAGCAGCACCCGGGGGGTGCAGGTCCATCTGTGCAGACGTCGAGAACTTCTTCGAAAAGCAGTTTTTTTGCAAGAACAACAACAACAAAAAAAATTAAAAATCCAGCCCTCTGCAATCCTCGCCTCCTTCGGGTCCCAGCTGCCAAAAATCCTGAGTCTCCAGCTCCGGCCCACGGTCCAGCTCGACTCCTCGGCCGGCAGCTCCGGCCAGTGTCTGTCCCTCGGGGCTCCGGCCAGTGTCCATCTCTCCCCGGGCTCCGGCCAGTGTCCATCTCTCTCCGACCAGTGTCCATCTCTCTCCGACCAGTGTCCATCCCCCTCCGGGCCTGGCACGGCTCCCTCCGTTCCCACCGCAGCGGCCGCGCTCCCCCTTCCTCCTCTCCGGTTCAAAAGAAAAATAAAATCGGTGGGTTTTGGGTATTGTGGGTTGGAACTGGCTGATTCTCCTTGGTTTTTTGGGGTTTTTTTTTTTGTTTTTTCCTGCTGTTTTCTGTTGGGTTTTTTTTTTTAATCCCTCAAGTCCAGGCCGAGATGGGCTCAGCGTTCCTGCAGACACACGTAAGGCACCCACTGGTTCCTATCGCGACTCTCGGCGCAGTAACTCGCCACCTCGGCCAGCCCCTGACTCTTCCAGGCGTCCGTGTGCGGGTTCTGGGGGGGAGCAGGAGCACGAGGTTAGTGCCACCAGCGCCGCGACACGTGTCCCCGAGCCGCCGCGTCACCCTCCCCGGCTCCCGGCCGTGTCACCCCCCCTGCTCACCGTGACCAGCAGGCAGTGCAGGTCCCGGGGCTCGGAGCCCGGCTCGGGCTCGCCCAGGATGGCAGCGAGGCGCTGCATGCCCGACACGCGCAGGATGTGGATGTCGTTGTCGCAGCAGAACGCCTGGATGAGCGTGAAATGGATCTGCAGGGCGATGTCACCTTCGTCCTCCTCGTCGGTGGCCAGCACGCACAGCACCACGCTGTCGGGGTCCCTGCGGGGGGGGACACGGAGGGTTAGGGACAGCTCGGGACGGTGGAAACCCCCGTGTCACCTCCCTGTCGGGCTAGGAATGGGGGACAGACCCCCTCCTCAAATTCTGCCTGGTCACCACCCCTGCGAAACGCTCCTGCCAAGAGCCAGCCCCGCGCTCAGCGGGCCGGGATGAACCCCGCCAGGAGAGCCGGAGCCCCCGACAGAGCCCCCGACAGAGCCCTATCGCGATACTCACACATTCATGAGCTTGGCCGACTCGTAGACCCCCACGGTGAGCCGGTCCTGCCGCAGAGCCGACACCAGCACCCGCTCCACCGCCTCGCTTACCGCCTGCATCCTGTCGGGAGGAACGGCAGAGCCGGTGAGCGGCGGCGGCGGCAACCGCGGAGCCCCCGCCGCCCGCCCCGAGCCGCCCGCCACTTACTTGCTGCTATCGCAAGGCACCAGCTCCTCCAGGGTCATGGTGCAATTGTAATCCTCAGGAGAAGAAGGCAAATTCCAAGAGCAATAGTCCCGAGTGCGGCTACCGCGGGGATACCGCTGAGCTATCGCGGCGCTATCGCGATCCCCGGTCCCGCTCCGCTCCTTCCGCCGCTCCAGCGCGATCGCTCTGAGGCACCGCCGCGCCCTGCGCCGCCTTTTATAGGCTCCTGCGGCCGGGCGTAGTCTCGCGCGGCGCCCCCGCCTCTTCCATTGGCTGGCGCCGCGCGGAGCCGCCCACGGACGCGGCGCTGATTGGGCGCCGGCGGCGGGACCCACGTGGGGGTGAAACGCGGGGGGGGAGCGCGGGGGAAACCCCCGCCCTGAAACTGCGCCCCCCCCGCGCCGGGACGGGCGTGGGAGCGGCGGGGCGGCGGCACCGGGGGGAACGGGGGAACCGGGGGAACCGGGGGGCACCGAACAGGGGGGTCGGGGTCCGTCCGTGGGACCGGGGCCCGCCCCGGGGGTCGTTTCTTGCATCGGCGGCTGCCCCGGGGGTCTCTCCGGGGGTCGCTCGGTGCACCGGGGGTGATCTGTGGGACCGGGGACTGCAACGGGGCGGTCGCTCTGTGCACCGGGGGTTGCTCCAGGGGTCGGTCCGTGGGACAAGGAGGCTGCACAGAGGGGTCGGTCCGTGGGATGGGGTCTGCTCCGAGGGTCGGTTCTTGCACCGGGGATCGGTTGGTGCACCGGGGGGTCGGGCCCTGGGACCGGGGCTGCACCGGGGTTTTTGTGCGTGAAGTGGGAGCGGTACCGGGGGGTCGGTCCGTGCACCGGGGTCTGCACAGGGGGGTCGTTTCGTTCACCGGGAGCGGTACCGGGGGGTCGGTCCGTGCACCGGGGGCTGCACCGGGGGTCTGTGCGTGCACCGAGGGGTCGGTCCGTGCACCGGGGGCTGC